TCTGGTAGATGTGAACCGCCAACCTTTGGTTAACAGCTAAGCATTTAACCCTTGTACAACTATGGCTCCTTTGATTTGTTGACTCTGCTAAAACTACGAATCGGGCTGTAAACAGCAAGGTCAGCAGTTCGAAACTACCAGCTGTTCCGCGGGAGAAGGATGAGGTTTTCTGTTCCCGTAAAGATTTACAGCCTCGGAAACCCTGTACAGGGGCACTGTGAGTCGGAACCGACTCCACGGCACATAACAACAACAACAACAACGTCTTACATAGATCCTTGATTCTGGAGTCTAAAACTATATTTGTCTTTCTGCCCTCTCAAAATTCGTAATTTTTGGTTGAACTCTATAGCCCACAACTAATGCAAATAATAATGTTTCACTAGGCCTCATTTTCTTCATCTTTAGAAAAGGTAATATTTGTTCTGTTTCTGTAAGATGAGTTGTCTAAGGACCCAGAAGGTAACAGGTAAAATTATAATCTAAGACTCATGTTTGTTTTGCTTTATAGAGATTGATACTTGACCTTAATTGGTCACTGTGTTCAAAACAAGTGTATTTGCTGATAACTGCTGGGCTTAAGGAGCTCTGGTAGCATAGTGGTTACGAATTGAGCTGCGAACCACAAGGTCAGCAGTTCGAAATGACCAGCTGCTCTGCGGGAGAAAGATGAGGCTTTCTGCTCCCGTAAAGATTTACAGCCTCGAAAACCCTGCTTAGCATCACTATGGGTTGGAACCGACTCCACAGCACTTAACAACAACTGGGCTTAGTGAACACTGAATGGCTTAAAATTAAGAAATGTGTATGACAAGGTTGCATTCTTTTCCCATACTTGTTCAACCTGTTGAGCAAATAATCCGAGAAGCTGAATTATATGAAGAAAAACGTGGCATCAAGATTGGAGGAAGACTCACTAACAACCTGTGATATGCAGATGATACAGCCTTGCTTGCTGAAAGTAAAGAAGACTTAAAACATTTACTGATGAAGATCAAAGAGTACAGCCTTCGGTATGGATTACATCTCAATGTAAAGATTACAAAAATCCTCACCACTGGACCAATGAACAACATTCTTATCAATGGAGAGGAGAAAAGATTGAAGTTGTCAAGGACTTCATTCTTCTTGGATCAACTGTCAATACTTATGGAAGCAGCAGTCAAGAAATCAAACGACGTATTGCGTTAAGCAAATCTGATGCACAAGACCTTTTTAAAGTATTGAAGAGCAAAGATGTCATCTTGAGGACTAAGGTGCGCCTGACCCAAGCCATGGTATTTTCAATAACCCATGCGAAAGCTGGACAGTGAATAAGGAACACCGTAGAAGAATTGATGCCTTTGAGTTAGGGTGTTGGAGGAGAATATTGAAAGTGCCATGGGCTGCCAAAAGAATCCATGAATCCGTTTTGGAAGAAGTGCAGCCAGAATGCTCCTTCGAGGCCAAGATGGCCAAACTTCGTCTCTCATACTTTGGATGTATTGTCAGGAGGGACCAGTTGCTGGAGAAGGATATCGTATTTGTTAAGGTGGAGGATCAGAGAATAAGAGGAAGACCCCTAACGAAATGGATTGGTCAAGGGGCAGCATTGATGGACTCAATCATGGCAACAGTAGTGAGGTTGGCCCAGGATCCGGCAGTGTTTCATTCTGCTGTGCATAAGGTTGCTATGATTCAGTACCGACTCGATGGCACCTAAGAACAACTGGTCTTAGTTGGAGTCCTGGTGTGGTGCTGTGGGTTAGTGCGCCAGACTGCAAAGCCGTTAGAACTGCAGAGTCGGTGGTTCAAGCTCACCAGCTGCTCCTCGGAAACCCTACTCAGGGTCACTATGGGTCAGAACAGACTTGACGGCACTTAACAACTGGGCTTAGTTGGACTGAATTGTTTGACTACAGAATGCCTGAGGCAGGGCCTTTTAAACTTTTAACAAAGTCCTATAGATCCTTAAAGAGTTAGAGGTCCACGGGAATTAGTCTGAGATTGATTGTTGAGACCCAGCAAATAAAGTTTTTAAGAAACTATTTTCATCTATTTCGATTCATAGCAAACCTGTAGGACAGAATAGAATTGCTGTATAGGGTTTCCATAAATCCTTCTGTAAGCAGGCTGCCACATCTTTCTTCCATGAAAAGGCTGATGGATTTGAACCGCTGACCTTTTGGTTAGCAGCCATCCACTTAACCAGCGACAGAGGAAACTGTGCCATAGAGTTTCAGTTTATAGAAGTTCCAGTCTCTAGTTTTTCTGTTTGTACACTTTTGGTTATATTTGATTAATGCTGTAAGATAAGGCCCTTATATTTTGCCCTAAATATACCAGGAGTCCTCATGTAAGGTAAGCACTGGATTTCTAACTAGAGAATCGGCTGTTCAAACTCACCTGCTGCTCCTTGAAAACCCTATTAAACCAAAACCCTGTTAACAAAAGCAAGAAGTTTGCCTTTATGTTTTCTTTGGTCTTTATAGTTTTAGGTTTTACATTAGGTGTTTGGTCCATCTTGAGTTTGTGTTTGTATGCCGTATGAGGTATGTGTGTATCTTGTTTCATTTTTCTGCAAATGTATATCCAGTTTTGCTAGCAGCATGTTAGAGAGACTGTGTCTTCCACATTAAAGGGACTTCAGCCCTTTCGTGAAGATTAGTGGTGGGTGGATTTACTTCTGTATCTCAGAGGGCACTGTGTCAGACCCCAGTTTTGTCTTGCTTTTCAATTGCTGTTTTTGTTTCTTTTTCTGATTGCTGTTTAATCTAGCTCTTTATCCTTTATGTTTACCTTTCAGAGTTCAGGATTATCATCTATTATTTTTTGTTTGTTTTCTCGGGACTTAGTTGTATGTAGGACTGAGTGGCATGTATGTCACCAGGACACTATCTTTTCTACTTTTCCTTCCTACAGCTTTTTAACAACTTCCTTGTCAAAGACGGGAGTTTGAATGTTATTAAAGAGCAGATTGCTTTAAGTTAGGTTGAAAGTACATTTTCCAGTTTTTCCAAACAAACTCAAGTGTCATGCCTACAGTCTAAAATTATCAACATGAGAGAAATACATGGTATTATTATTTAGAGGCGATACCACTTAAGTTGATCAGTAAGCTTTTGCTAGTGATTCTGATCCCCCTACCACATGTTTGAGGTTGGTTAATAAATGATGCCTGTAGTTTTGGGATCTATTTGAGAGCAATAATGAATGGCATTTCACAGAAACGGAAGCAGGTTAGCTATCAGAAGTCCTCAGGCTAGACAGATTCCTGGAGGGAGTGGCTGTATCATCTGACACCATCTGGTAGGACATCCAATGCAGAAAAGTGTTTTAACTCAGCAGTGTTACCGAACTTCAGGAACTGACTGACACAGAGCTGAAGGGTATGTAGTAAACACTGGTAGTAATATCTAGTAGTACAAAAACATCTTTGCTAACACAGGAATTAGAACAAATACTTGCTAAGTTCTGTAAATGCTCTCTGGAGTTTAGGTTCTTTAGGCACCCTTTGTTCCTGTGGTGTTTCCTAACTATGGCTTCTTTACCACAAAAAGTCTGACATTCTGTTACTACAGTAGTGGGGACATTTTCTGTTTTAAAAATTTTCCAGCTTCCTTTTGTTAGACTCGGTTCTAATTTAAAATAACTGGTAGAAACATTTCTCCATTTCAGATAAAAATGACTACTGCTAGTCTGTTCTTGCACAAGAAAAACTGTTTTGATTTCAAACATGTAGTTCCAAGTCAGTTCTTGAATCTTGTTTGCTGACTAGGATAATGAAGCTCACTAGCTCAAGTTCTAGAAGATTGTTTGACACGCAGGGAAATCACCCCAGCTTTCTTGAATCTCCAGTTAGTATTTGAATGACTGTTACTACTGTTTCCAAATAGGGATGTCACCTTGTTGGCATTACAGATGTAAATTCATTCCGAGTGCCAGTGACATTCTAAACTACAACTTACAGAAGTAATTATCTGATCGTGTAAAACTGCTAAAAGAACAAGTCAAATTGAGAAACTAATGCTGATGATCTAAAGTACAAATTGACACAGTTCTGAAATTAAAAGTGAAATGAATTTGTATAGAGGAACGAGTCATGAATTCAAAGCACTGCAATTTGTGGCTAATTACCTCCATGAACCACTAGCTTCCTCCTTTGCCATAAGACTAGAAATTACCTTTACTGAAGAGATGAATCCTTAACGAAATGGGAGGAAATTCGGGATAGAATCTTAAATTGTATGGGATCCATCCTTAATGGAGCCATTGAGTCTGGGTGAACCACAGAACTGATAACCTTTGGCCTGAAACCAGAGTCAGTTCCTACTCATAGTGACCTGACATGATAGAGTACAACTGCCCCATATATGGGTTTCATGGCTGTAATCTTTACAGGTCTTCTTCCACAGAACCATTGGGTGGGTTTGAACCACCACATTTGTTAGCAGCCAAGCGCTTAATCATCAGACCACTGCCATCCACTACTAATCTGTAGCAGTCCTACAGAAAAGAGTAGAACCACCTCATAAGGTTGCCAAGTTTGTAAATCTTAATGGAAGCAGATTGCCACATCTTTCGCCTATACACTCAAACCACCAACCATTTTAGTTAGCAGCTAAGTGCTTTACTGAATCACCATGGCTCCATAAACAAAACTGGGTAAGTGACATGTTGGCAGTTTGAATTCACCAGTTGCTCCATGGGAGAAATTGCTTGACTAGCCCCTGTAAGGATTACAGCCTCAGAAACC